AACAGGTTGGGCATTGCCTGGGTTGTATGTTGACTGGTTTGTCTGTTGACCAGGTTGGGCATTGCTTGGGTTGTATGTTGACTATTTACTGGTTTGTCTGTTGACCTGGTTGTGCATTGCTTGGGTTGTACAGTATGTTGACTATTAAAGTTGTATTGACTGGTTTGTCTGTTGACCAGGGTTTAAAACTGTTTTTAAATTAATACTGAGTTGTACTTAAGGTATATATTGCTTACATTGTATATTGACGAGGTGTATATTGAGTGTGTCATGTATTGACTAGGTTACATATCTGATTGGGTCATATATCAAATGTATTATATTTTATTTGTATTAGCGTCATGAAATCTTGTGTTTTAGGACAAGAGACCTGCTTCTACAGTAAGCTGGTTGGTTATTAACTTCGGTTGATATTGACCAAAAATGCATATTGACTGTTTATTGTAGTCACTTGGTTGTATATTGACTGTGTTGGTCAAATATCTGACTGGATTGCATTTCAGATGATGAAGCAGCGAGACATACTGTCCTTCAGACAAGAGATCCGTTTCCGCAACAAGTTGGTGGATTATTTATCTGACTGGATCAGCATCCCCAGAGAGGAAGGCACTCTCCAAGCACGGTACCAAAACCTCAAAATTTATGTATAAAACTTTCATTAACGGAGTCATTGTTTCTCGGTTTAGAGATGTAAGTTTCATTTTAACAAGAACAGTGCAAACAACTTTTTCCAAGTTTGTCCTGTGTGTTATGCAGTGATTATTAATTTAAATTTGTCAGACAGATTTCTTGCCGAATATAATTGTGTTGTTCCAGAGTGAACTCAAAGATGTTTCATTAAGGGCGTGTGCTATTGGAATTCCGAACTTGCTGATTCATCTTTGTCTTTTGTGTGTCTTGACAGCGAGTTAGATGAAGCCAGTATGGAAGCCATGGCTGCACTCCTCGTCAGTCTTCCCTTACAACCTGAAGAAGGGGACGCTGGAGACATCATGCAGGCCAAATCTAACCTCTTCTACAAGTGAGTTCAAATTGTCTTGTGTAAATGGCAGTAGATATGTCAACATAGCAAGTTAGTTGATTTTTACACTTGATAGCTCAGTGGTTAGAGTTCTGCAACTCTATAGGGCACATGTTGGAATCCCTGCTACAGTTCAGTTTCCTTCAAGCAAAGATTGATAACACCTTGGTGTAAATCATTTTAGGAAGCCATTCAAGATGCCAAATTGTCAGAACATTGTGCTGCCAGTGCTTTGTTTCATATGTGGAATACCAGATGCTTAGTTGGGAATCCCACCTGTTCTCATTGGGAATCCCATCTGTTCTCATTGGGAATCCCACCTGTTCTCATTGGGAATACCATCTGTTCTCATTGGGAATCCC